TTTTTAAATCATTTAGTCTGATTACTTTGGTCGTTTGAAAGTTATTCTGTACTGTCAATTAGACTTGTTCAAGCAGCTCGATCGATGACCAGTCGACAGCAATTACAATGAATTACCAAGTTTTATTGTGTCAAAGACAATCAGCATATAAATGCTCCTGTGTAACGTGTCTTTTAAGATATTGAATATTGTAAAAATAACCTTAAGGGAACGCCAACGCGAATCTGCCTGTTAAATGTTCATTCAGTAAGGTTAAAAACCGACCAGAAATCGATTTTAAAATCAGCTTCCTGTTTCTTTGCTTGATTATGTACGCTATTTTATATTACGAATTATTCTTCGCAAATAATTTTACTTGGCTACTTGCCATCTAATCTAGAGTTGCTGAGTTGGTTGAGTGGAAACAATGAGTGTCAGAAGATTACATTGGGTTTAAAACACACATTTTCCGCAGCCTTCAATTTAATCTAAATTGACCATTCTAGTAATAACTCGTGTTCACTTTACGTTCTTCTTGGACCTACAGCCAATCGGTTCACAACGCCACGCAAATCTAAGGCTTAACTCAACAATATTTCGTATTTAATGCCAATTATGTTAGGTTTGTTTCTGACTGAATGATTGGTTACTTTCAAATCTGCTCGATTAAGTAAACACGGAAGTAACTTAATAAGGTTTCATAATTTCAATGAATGGACTTCTATCACTTTGATGCTTATTAACATTTTTCAATCTTTTTCCCCCAGACTAGTCTTAGATTTAATCACTCCCAACAAAATGCAGTTGGATATACGTGTTGTTCGGTGTATTCTGGGACAACTGTGGTGCTGGTATGGATATTTGGGGTAATTTTATCCGCAACGCAACCATGTAAACTTAATGTATCGCACACTGCCATTTGTGCGTTCAAGTAACCACATATTTTGTCATTTCATAATGTATTTTTAATTAAATAACTAGATGATGTAGCTAATTTTGCTCTTTTTTAATTTTTATTCGCCACGTCCGACTGCGTTACACTGCACGTCCATTGCACGCCGGGATGGTATCTCAAGTCATAGTGAGTTTATTCACATAGTTGATTGTTTCCAGATAGACTGTCAGTGCATGATTTTACTGAAGAAAGGTTTGCTGTACTGTAAACTATGTTTCTCTGATTAACTGACTGCTGTCTTCAGTCGGAAAGCAATATATATTCTTTATCTTCTGCTAGGTAAGTTCATATGGCCTAAATTTCGTGCTTTGGTTATTATATCCATTTAACTACTTTGAACAACATGTCTGTGCAAATGAAACAATAATTATGACACTTGCTTAGTTTAGTATTCTTGGTTGTCGTATAATTCAGTTTAGTCTATAGAATTATAGTATACTTAAGTATAGTGCTTGAAGCCTGTAACGAAACAGATCAGTTTAGTAAGTTGAGCTGCCTAATTCTAATGAGTATACTGATTGAAATCAGTCTGATTAAAAATAGGAAAAAAATAGCTTTGGTACTGTTGCTGTCATACATTATAAGATAACTTTAAGTATGTTCGGTGTTTATTTCTAGACTGTACATCTATCACTGACCATATTTCATGATCATTGTTATAAACAATTTCCCCAGCAATAACATCGGTAGCAAGATAGCTAAGCGTCTGAGCTTTTAGTTGCCCGCAAAACAGCAGTATACAGTCATAGAAGATGAGTGTTCTGTGTCTCAATTAAATGCAGCTGGTTGTGGACAAATGTTAAGAATCGTTTTGACGACTGGGACTTTTAGTTTATCAGACACTAACTCTGCTTGCATGTCTTCCTGTTAAACTAGATGCAGATGCATGGGAATACTTAAATGGGAGCGAAATAATGAAAGCATTGCAATACGGTTATGCTTTGCACAAGTAATAGTGGCTGACCTGATCTAATATTCATGAACTCAAGGTACATCACAACTACATAAATTCTTTGCTTAAAAACATGTAATTTGGTTGTTTATCTATTCCACATTTCTGACTAAATTCATCACTATTTTTCATTTAGAATGCAACAGGAGTGACACTTCACAGATCCTAAAAACTGTTTCGCCCATGGAACTGTTTACGGGAGACCCAACTAACAGCAGATTATAAAAAGGATGCTGGACGTCCATTTTACTCTCATAACCACTTCCAGTATTTTTTTTGACTTACTGCTTTTACTCTTTCGTTCGGAAAAAAACAACAAAAACTGCGGCTCAACATTACCAATACAACTTTTAAACGGGAACTTGATTTAGACCTTTCTTTGATATTCGATTCTTAATGAAAGTTCTTGAATAAATTTTTAAATTTAATGCTACTTTGTTTTATCAACTTAATCGTTGCAAGAAACTTGTGATAAGCGAAACTCTTAACACCTAGTTCATGTGTTCAAATGGTTGTGGACTGAATAGACGCTTTCGCTTAACAGGCTTCCGTGTCTCGTAGCAGGGGATCATCAAGACTTCCAGGCAGGAACCTAGGTATGTTAACAATAAAAGAGGAAAACGAAACTAGTAAATCATAGTATCATACTATCCTTAATCCTTAAGAATAGATCCAGTTGCCCCTCGAAGGACTCCTGGGAAGTCACTTGGACTAGCTCGGCCGGCAGCGAATTCCAGCAATTGACAACTCCTAAGGAATAGAAGTTGTGTCTACAGTCCGTCCTGCTGTGTTGTGTCTCTAGTTTTTGGGTGTTATCCTTTAGGCTAGTGTTGGAACTAAGCTTAAGTAGGTGTTTAAGAGAATGTCCAGCAACAATTATTTTAGCTAAAAAAACGAACTTCGGCTTTGGATATCTAGAAAACAAGTCCATACAAAATCGATTACCATTTTAAAATATAAGACTAGCCAGCTTGGCTGAAGAAATACATTGACGTGAGTAGAAGCGGCAAAACCCAAAAAGCAATGCTGATTCGAAGTAAATTTCACACCAACATATAGAACATTACACTAACTGCGGCATTTTAGCACACTGAAACATTAAATTACATAGCTACACAAAAGAAACAGCTGAAAGAAGCATAGAACGAAGAAAGCCGCCCGCTGTTGCTTACAAAGATGGCAGATACAATAATTCCCGCCCCATTCTGATTGGTTGATAAGCTGGAGGGCACATTTACGAAGTTGAGTAGTGTTTAATTGCAGCCATTTCAACACATCGTTATTATAAAGATCATCTAGTTTCCAAAGAGTTTGCTCCATCGCAAATTTGGTGAGGAATTTGAGCTCAAGGTGTATGAATCCGACTGATATTCGATAGGTTTTCTTACAGGTGCACACTGTGGTATCAGGAATAAAATTGAACACTATGGTTTCGCTCTAGAGACACAACTTATATGAACACTTTCACTGAATATGCAGTTAAAGTTATGGGTTTTTTTACGGAAACGTTACAAGATTATGACCAAATTTGTCGTCAAGTCTGATCACTAGGACAGTAAGTTATTAAAAAGATTCTGAGGGAATTAACATGCTAAATGTATGTAAAACATAACTCCTCCTCTGAAGACTGATCACTGGACACTGAACTACCTATCATGAGCCGTAAGGGTCGATGACGTGTAACTTTGATTAGTCAACTGATTGAATAGAATCAGCTCGTCACGCGGATCAGTCACAGTTAGTGTTGTACTTTCTTTCTTTGTGGACTTTAATATAACTCAACTTGACAAGATCTTATGTGTAACCTGACCTGTTAACCAGACTATAGTGGACCGGACAGGGATATTATTAGGTAGTTCAAGTTTCACGTAATGTCGTGTAGATTAGGCAGCCATACTAGTCCAGTTAATCTCAAATTATGTTGAGATTATGAGCATAATGAGGTAAAAGTAAGCCGAGCATGTCAAGTTTGGCCGAATTTGCAAAACTACTAACTCCGATTATATAATTGGTCACTAACCACGTAAATGGTCATTTCATTAATTACTAACAAAGTCAATAAAAATTCAGTTTGTCTAGAGTTTAAAAGTAAATTCTTGGTGAGGGTAGTTTTGAGAAGATCAAAAGAACAAACGATGAGAGTCAATGTATGGTGGGATATGTGGAGATGGTGAAATTTCAACACTCTAAATCATGAACCACAACAATGGAGAGCTGTTTCGTTCTAGTACAGGAGTCCTCAGTGGTGAGAAATAGCTTTACAGTGCTTCCTGGTTCTCAGTAGTGATCCAGACGACAGGATAGATGTATTGTAATCAATCTAGCTTCCGAAACAGACACAGATAAGAAATGTAAAGATGAAACAGGTATTCAGAATTTGACAACCTCTTTACACGTAATAACTCCAAAATTGAAGTATACCAATCCAGTTAAATCAAAAGTCAGAAATGTTGGAGTTCGAAGATATATTTGGAAGGCTATCGGTGTGTCGAGAAGCGTTTGGTCTATGCTGGTTGGTAGTTGCAAGAGATGTGTAGCACGGCTTATCCACACATGATCTGGTGAGGATGCGTGATCGAAAGCATTAAGCTAGGTGTGTCAATTAAAACTAATGGGGTCAGCACCGAGTGTCGGGGACTTACAGAACTATTTGTTTTAGGTTTTTTACCACTATAACTATAACAGTGATATAACTCGAATGTGATAGAAAACTGTGATCGTCATTGAAAAATGGGATTTTTACACCAAATCTCGGAAAAACGGTCTCACTTTCCAATTGCTATGACGTTTGCATGGGATCACGCGAAGAAATTTTAAACTGTGAAACTTAATTAAAATAATGTGTTCATGATTGGCAACTATTGATACAATGAGTGACTTTTACGCATTTTACAGTTATCTTGTTTTTTCTTTGCATCTTTTGCCGAAGTTGATTCACATTTTGTTCCGTGTCAATTAAATTGCTTTTGTGGACAAGTGAAAAACCATAGTTTTCTAAGAGGCATGCGAGAAGATATATCTTAACTCTACCTAAATTCGTGTTATCAGTGCAGAAAGTCTGATCTTCCTGTGGACATTGAAAATAGATCATATCCTACCCTATTGTTTGACACAATACCAATATACAATCTTACACATAATGATTTGACTGGTGTATGGCTCTCGACATCATAACCGACAATACTTTTCTATTAGCCTAACTGTGACTCAACAACAATCCACATATTAGCCTACTGATTGTTTGAGTGCCTCAGGAAGTAATGCGATACCTGTCTGCATGGCGGAATATTTTGCGTTTAGTTTAGGTGGTTAGTTAGAAATAGTAATGTAGCAATGGAGTGAGCTCCATGTAATATGTCTAGTATGAGCCAGTTGACAGGGCCTAATGACGCTTCACTTGAGCATTGCTTCACTAATATTTTCGCCTTGGTAAGTGTTTAGTATATAACGTTGTTTTTCAATGAAATATTGTTTGAAGCTTAATTGACCAATTACTGTTTTCCTGTAGACTGATTTCAGTGGTATACAGTACAGAAAATACATCCTTCATACTCCCAAAGAGTATCATGACCCGCTAAACGATCCAATTATTAAGTCTTACACACTGTGCCAAAAGTATGGCGTTCTTTCAGCCTGGGTGCGCTCAAAGCCAGAGTCATCTGACTTATCAAATCCTTGCGCTTTTTCGAAGTTCGCTAAAGAGCTCTGGGTGTTTTGGTATGGAAACGATGACTTTCCAAATGCTGATAGCTGTATACTGCCAGAACTACGTAGGGAGGACCATGGAAACTGGCGACAAGGTTTATCATATGAAACAAGAACTGTCTTGTTTCGAGCCTTGCACAACGTTGTTGAAAGGTTTGTACACAGGTCTTTGATCTAATATTTAAAGATGTCTGCTTACTAAAGGGTTTGTGCGCTTGGGCAAATGGTTTGTACAGCCTCGTAAATGCGGTTGCAATGATGACAAGTGAGATCAAATGACATAAGTTTAATTCTTCCTAGCGTACAGTACAGTGTCAGTTTTTCGTTCTTCCTACACGGCGAGAGTACGGTGTGTGCCAGTCTCGACATTCGTCAACACGCTGCTGTCCAAAGAGTTGGAGTTGAACACATTCAGAGTTGTGTCACAAGTCAGTCAACCATACCTGGTAGGTCTTCCTTAAGGTATCTAATATGCTACGCACAATTTGCTTCCATATTAAGGGTTTATCGTATTTATATGTCAATTTTTGTGCTGATGATAAAGTACATAGTATTCACCGTATTTTGTGTGGTCAGATAATGGTATAGACTTAGTGTCATCCTTCAGTAGCTCAGCTGTATTAGTGTCCACCACTATCTATTTTACTAATGATTTGCCGAATAAATGTGGAGCGCTGCTTAACTGTAATTATCTTACAGATATTGTCCCCGCTATCTTATTTAATTAATGATGTCAAGTGCATAGTTTTTTCCACATGCTATAATCTACTTTCTAGTAAGGTTACTTTTTGTAATTTTATCAAGCGCTGCAGTGATTTGAGACAGTGCACATTCGTATGAGTTTCTTATTTTACTTTTGACTGGCGGAAAGCCACTATCTTGACAACTTAGTACATGTTCATACACTCGATCTTGCATCACGATTGTTAGATTTAAAAATCAGATATTTTCCGACTGCTGGGTTGAAGCAAGTATAAAGGGATCTCAATTTTCAACGTAGTTGACATGTTTTATCTGCTTAACCACCGTGACCGTTTAACTAGATTTTTGAATGTCAAATAAACTCACCAACTGTTGTGACGAATATATTGTTTTGTATGCAAAACATGTATTTAGTCACAATTTATATGGGTTGTGCTAGTACAATATGGGTCCCACTGTCATTAATTTACAGTTAACTAGTTCAGTTGTGATTATTGAGTAGAAGCTACGTTAGTCAAATTGCTGTTTATTATTCTTGGTGTCTTGATATTTCAATCACATGTATTCGATATTAGTTTTAGGCTTTTTCACGATGTTGGGTTCACAAGTAATGCTCTCCCAGTGATATAATCTGAAACCAAATTCATTTCACAGTTCTGCGTTACGAGCTTATTACTTTTTCATATCCTATTGGTGAATTCTTTCTTTAGACCAGTATATGACAGTGATCCTTAGAAGTTGGTATCAAAAGGCGCTTCTTAAAAACGAGCATGGTAGTGTACGGCCGGACCGAACATTATTCGACCGTATTCACTCCTATTTTGTCTGGTTCATAGGTCAACTTCAACCTCTCTTTCCTTTAGTTTTTACCCGATCATTTTTAAACAATTCTTTAGATGGCTTAACTCATGAAAGCAAGTATGAGTCAGATTACGAAATAAATATAGTAAAAAGTATAAACGTCCGTTCAGAATCGTGTTGTTTTGCACTCCTCCATATTCAAACAAGCAATATATTTCCCCGTGAATTTTAATTTAATTACAGTCATCCTGGCACCTTATGGACTATCTGCAGAGCTGACGGGTTTCGGTTTTGAAAAGAAGGACGGAGATCTGATGGTTGAATCAGAAGCATGGTCGACTTTTTACCCTCTCAGGCCCAGTCACGAATGTGACCCTTCTATGAGTGGTGTAACTGGTCTGCCGTTTTTTGCTATGGCTACTCCTACGCATCAGAATCCACGTCAGCAGAATAGATTTGGTAGTGATAAGAAGCGGACAGTAGAAGAAATCAATCGACGGTGTCTAGACACCCCACCCAAATTTGTTGAGGTGATTGTTGGTAAGTTAGCACTAAAATCTGTGTCATCAATTTCCAATCATCCCCAAGCTATGTAGACAACCCACTCAACCAATATGACCCGTAATTCACTCTTATTGTACGAGGACATGTAATTAAGACACGAGACTGACCAAGATAGGATAGTTAGTTGTGGGTTATCACCTGCAGCAACTAAGCAGAAACGTCTAGCAAATATCCGCTATTTATGTAATGCAATGGTTGTAAGTGGTTTAAGACTTAGATGCCCCAAAATTGTTATTGGTTATCAAGTAATTATACATTGCTCTCTCTAAAGGACACCAGGCGTGCAACTCAGAAGTATTAAATATTTAGACTTCGGAATGGTATTTACGATTTAAAAGATTACTCAGTAAGTATATTTCATATGTGCGTTTATTCAGTAGAGTTTCCTCAGTCATTAGATTTGGGATTAGTTGACGAAATCTACGTGATTTCACTGCAGAGATTCATGCGTAGGTTTTACGTGTACAACAGCCCAACAGCATACTAATGCGGAGTTTGTCACTAGTAGGTGGTAAATATACAGTTACTAAGTAATGGTCCATAGAATTTCCGAGGTGCTTTCGATGGAAAATAGCATTATTTAGTACATTACATGTATACACGGTACTCTGTTAATCGTGTTCTTTTTTAGGTATTTCTCTAGGACAAAAGTATGTCACGTGTGCCTCTAAAGTTTCAAATGGTTTGATGAACATAGGTGATTACTTCTTCCGTGTTGTGAAGAATATCAGTCCTGAACTTTTTTCTGTACAGTCATCTTCATGTTTCAGTGTAGTCAATACAGTGGCTTAGTAGTAAAAGTATCCAAAATTTGACCACTTAGTCCCGGATTCGAACCCCAGATTACCAACCTAGGTTTGGGCAACCCAGTAGTCTCATTAACTGTCTCACTGAAAGTTTGGCTCATAGTAAAGTATATGGTGGATGAGTTGGTTTGTTTTATGTGTTTTAGTGAATGCAGGTTTAGGCAGCTGAAATACCGCTAATAATGCACTCTGTCTTTATGCTTAGATAACAGCCCATCACTCAATTATAGGGTCGTGTACTCAGTTTTTTGAGGATTAACAATAGATTTTTCTGCTCAAAGCAAAGTAAATGCAGCATAGTCTGAACGTACAACCTAATCGTCAAGTTAAATGTCTTTACTACTTTACTGTTCCAAACTGCTTCCCGTTGATTAAATAGATTTACAAAGTGAAATGAGATTTTCAAAAACATGTCTTGGTCCAATGCAGTGTTTTATTCAAGTTTTATCATTTTTAACCTGTAAGCTTTTAGCCAAATAATTCTTGGTGTGATTACATGGATGAAGTAAGATGCGAATGTTTAGATTCTAATTCATGTACAGTAGGTACCTAATTATCTACAGGGTAGTGAACAATACTAAATGTTCTCTCATGTGTATATTTACCATAGCACAAGTATTTTGTCTTTGTCGGTTCGTGTATTTTAAATGTGTTATTTGTGATTGGTTCGTATTTCTTCGCAGATGGTTTTCGTATGAGATACCCAATGTGCTTTGTTTTAATAACCTCTGTAAACGATTCACCTAGTCAACCGGAATATAACCCAACACCTTACGGTGAAGCAATTCATTTATCAGACGTTTCCGGTCATAATTTATCTACGAACGTATCGGCGCCCTATATGTCGAACAAATGTTCTATGTATAATGCCCATATTCCGAATAAGATAAAAACATCACGCTTCTGGAGAGTAAACAAACGGAAAAAACGCCCGTCTATTAAAATGAACACACCTGGGACGTCTTTGCTGAAAGCAGTTATTCCTAATAGCTCTTTGCAGTCTGATTTCTTAGTAGATGTTCGTCATATCTACCTAGCTGGAAGAACTCTACAGTGTGCATCGCAACATAATCGTCTTCCTTCTATGAAACCAGAGTGGCAATCAAAACGGTCACATTCTACTGATAAAAGTGATATGGGTTGTAGTACTGATGGGCTCATAACTTCAGTATCACCCGAAATGTGCTCATTGTACATACAAGATCCATGTACTGTCTTGCCGTGCTGCTGCAACAGGTAATTTTCTTACTAATTTAATGTTGACATCCACATGGTTTTTAAAGAGTAACATTCAGCAAATATTTAAGATAAATTGTCATATATTTTACTAACCAATTAACTACAAATGGCTGTCATTCATATTTTTCGGTTATTGGATACATTTGTCAGTGTGAAATCTCATATTTTAGTGTGAAGCATAATAAGATATATGTATTTACTAAGATTTTCATATTAAGTACTCAGAAACTATTATTCACTCGTAAATAATGTCAAATACAAATTTGCATTCATCCGAAAAACATCTGTGTTTGTGATTGCTCAGTCTTTGAAAATTCCCATTACTGGATCCAACAGTATCAGGAGACTTATGAAATCCGCTTATTTAATTAAAACTTTGGGATACTCGACAGACTTACTAATAAAATAAATGCAGTACCATTATTAACAATTTGTGTACTCAGTGAGCACAATATTCAGTGAAAATGGTTTTACTGCATATGTTATTTCTTCTAAATAGTCTATTGGACCACCCTTTCAGGTTTTCTCGGGTTCGTCGCACTTCTGTTGGTGGTTCGTTTCATCAGCAAGATCCCTGTATCCGACATTCTTTGAAGTCATCTATTCATTTCAATGTCCCGCTCTGTGATCGTCCAAGGACTCCACTCCCAATGATTACAACCAACTTAACTGCAACCCATGACCCATCTATGCCTACTCTGAGCCCTCAGCAACCAGCTCCAAACCAAAATTCAAACCTTAGTTCTAATACCCTCAATGAATTAAATAACGATTTCGTTTGTGATCAGAATACTTCCCAGACCACACCTTCATCCACTCACCTTTCAACAGCGCCACAACCTCCATCACTTCTTCCTAAACCTGAAAGTAATTCAGCTTTATCTTCGATTGTAAAGGTAATATGCGCACAAATATCGTATAATTCAAACCCTTTTATCAAAATATAGTATTCTTACGTTATTTCAAGTGCCAAGTTTTTGATATTTCTTACTTTCACTATAGTTTGACTCGGATGCTTTAATCATTAAGCCATAGCTCCACTGTTTGCTCGATATTGTATAATTTTTTAATAGAGGAAGAGAAAAAAACACAATCGTAATTGTGAATTAAAGCTGTTAGTCATGTCCACAACTAACCAGTTGAAACGTCGCTTAGGCGCCCACCACGTCAATATGGTTCGATTTGTTTGTAGACTATCCCTGTTGCATGTAACCTGCCAATTGAAGGACATTATTATCCTATTATATTAGTGTAACTCATGATTTTTTATTCATTTCAATAAGACACGCAATACTGGTCGGTATGTTTGTGCGTCCCAGTTAATGACTATAATCCCTTTAATTACTGTACTAATTGAATTGTTTTTACGCTTAGAAACGGATGAAGCTTAAAGCTAAGTTTCCCTCGTTTTGACTATGGCTTTCACATAGACTCTGGGGTCGCCAGTATCGTGTTTACAGTTCAGGTAGAATATCTGTAGGATAAATTAAATCCTACAAAAGGTTTAACAGTTTTTCAGTAAGATGGAAGTACAATTCTTTCCGCTTGTTTCTAATGTACGTTTCAGTTTAATTGTAAGTAAAAAGGAAATATAGGGACAACAATAAGCATGAAAAATAGCATCACTCGAATTGGCAAAATGTAGCGGTACACATAAAAAAATGCTGGGTATGATTAATTGTATGACTAACCTAATCTTTCGACTATGCTGTCTAATCCTAATAAATTCAATTTGGATATACAACTAAGAACAACGCTCATTGGGCTTTTTGTGTGTTCACTTTTTGTTCTTGCTAACACTAGTTGTTGTTCCGTGGATGCTGTGGTTTTGTCGTTCCTTTACAATAATCTTGCCTGAGTTATCTCTATTAATGGTGCCGTTTAGGTTCTGAGGAAAAGTTGGTATAGGAACTCCTAGGTTTCCGAGAATCACGCTAAGTGAATCATGTCTAAGCGGTTTATTAATACTTTATTACTAGTCGTAATCAAAATGACCAATTTTTCTAAGAATTGTATTTATTGTTGGGATTTATTTTTTATTGTACAAATCAGTGGTTTTGTAAAATATCTTGTTTGTTACTTCTTAGATACCTAACGGTTTGGTGACCACCGATTCACCCGTTTCTTCAGATCATCAAACGCAATATGCAAAAATGTCAGCCCGACACATTCCGATCGCTTCTGTATCTGTAATGAAAAGGAATTTATTCAATACTTGGTTAGCCAGACATGCAGCCCAGGAATTGCAGAAAGAACCATCTAGTGACATAAAGCGTCCAAGCTTATGTCTCAGCATTCCAGATCGAATTGAAAGAGAACAGTATATATGCCCAGAAGGCATTGCTTTGCAATCTGCCCTTGAGCAATCATCCCCATCCTTCCCGAATTATAGTATTATCGATGACAATACATCGTACAAAGAAAATAATGTAACTACTGACGAGTAGTAAGTGGCATCACTGTCAAAGCTATTTTGTAAATAGTTAAGTCACCAAAGAATCAGTTTTAGGTGTTTTAATTAGTTATGTTATGGCTATATTCAATCTTCTGCACGAACTATCATGATGTTCACATTTCGATGAGACTAAGATTAAACGTTACAACTTAAATGCTCTAAGTAGCCACTCATTCTGTTTGGAGTTTTCGTGAACTATTACGTGTAAAACTGCATAAATACGTAGTACTGATCATCCCATTTAACCTGACTCATTCTCGAACTACACATTTTACTTTCCTCTTGTAAATGTTTCAAAACATTAATTAGTTCGAAATAAATATGTTCGTGTTAATTCGGGTTAATAAAATATCTAAACATTATTAAATGATGAAACTTTTCGGTCACTCTAAGTAATCAGTTTTTAAACAGAATTTTTTCACTTTTTTTTTAGCGCAATCCTTTCCTCTATTTCAGTTCTGTTGTTGTTAACGCTAATATTGATTTACACATCCAGTTGTATAAGGGCTCTGTCCGCACTCGAGCTAAGCCGCTTATTTTTTAATTTATTTGGACACAAACATCAATGAAAAAAGGGCACCAATATATCTATGCACCACATACTAAAAATGAAACTGGTGAATTAGGTAAAGGAAAGTGAGTATAATAAAAGAAGGACAAAAGTGAATAAAAGTTAGTATATGAGTGAAATAATAATAATTATAATAGGAGGAGGAGCAGTTCGGTTAAGAAAAATGCAACCACAAGGAATTCTTTCAGTTAAATAGGTTACACTTTTATGAATAAAGTTACGGAGGGACCGCCATCGACATCTATTCTGAGCCTAGTCTGATAACTTCTCAAGCCACTATGTTGCATCGTCTCTTGAATCCCAGCCAGGATGTCGTGAATATTCAACAGATGTGTTGCTGTCAATTTTGGCACTGCCATCTACTACCTTGGTACTACACTACCTTAGTGGTGTAAACATAGATTTCTGTAGTTACTTGACACATAGTTTGTAATCTCACCATGTTTGAGAGTTTATATGTATTGTTGTTTTGTGGAAAATCACTATCTGGAGCTTTATAAAATTTCCAGTTCGTTTAGAAACAAACGCCCTCGTACTGCTATCTGCCGCACTGATTTCAACGAATGCAGTTTGAACGATGGCGCACAAGGAATTACGACAGATATCACAAATGTCAACTTCACTTCTGCCAATCCATGTAAGTTATACCTTATCAACCTTTTTCTTATGTTATTGTTCTATCGCTCTAACTCACTTATTCATTTCTAGATTCCCCGGATATGAAGGTCGGAGTTACAGAATGCAATGGTTTAATCGATGACCAACACATTAATCCAGGAGCATTGGAAACCAATACTCATTCTGGATTGATGCATTCTAACGGTTCCGTCATGAATAATTCAAGTGGCACTTTCAGTCGCAACGTTGGACTAATCACTCACGTAAGTCTGTTCACATCAATGTGTAATCAAGTCGAGGGGCATATGTCAAATGTTTATTTTGCTTGGGGATATTTCAGTCAGTCAGCTACAACGTAGGACCAGGCACATGTATACATCGGTCCAGGTTGCCATACCTCATTAGCACAGCAAGATGAACACCGGATTCATAGGAGTGGTTAGGTTAAAGATGGTAATATATAGGAGAAAGATTGCATATAAGGATACAGTACCGGAATATAGAATTAGTTCGTAGAAAGAAAAATATGAAGCGATTTTAATCTCTTAGTTTAAGGGGAGACAGGGAGTGTATGCACCGACGCCATTGTGATCGATTCTGAGCCATGTCACCAAGAGTCTCCAACCATCGATTACGAAAGTCACGCGGACCCCAACCAAGTAGTCTGCATCTACCAACATGGCTCAGACTAAAGGTTGGTGTCTTCAAGCACTGATCCCACGTTTTGGTTTGGCCGCCCCTAATTCTCTTCCAACCATCTCTAACACCTGTTAGCATTGCACGACATGGTAATCGGTGTTCAGGCATACGTAACACGTGGCCCAACCATCTCAGTCGATGAAGATGAACAACCTCGTCGACTGATTTACCATCATTCCCTAATACCCTGTGTTTAACCTCACTATTACTTACCCGGTGATCCCAACAGACGCCAGCAATATTTCTAAGGCATCTGTGGTCAAATACTAGTAGCTTACGGGTGTCTTCTACTCGTAAAGGCCATGTTTCGCTGCCGTAAAGTAAGACAGAACGGACTGCTGCGCAGTATACTTGTCCTTTTATTGATAGACGGATATCTCGCTTTCGCCATAGGTGACGTAAGTTGGCAAAAGCCAAACGAGCTTTTCGAATCCGTGCTGAGATTTCGTCCGATACCAGCCCATTAGGGCTGATCAGACTTCCAAGATAAGTGAAGTTGTCAACGCGTTCGACCACTTCACTCCCTATCCTTAGTTCAGGTGTTACCGCAGACCAGTCCTGAAGCAACAACTTGCATTTAGAGGGAGATAAGCGCATTCTAAATACATTCTGGCATTGTTGCTCAGTGCTACCAGAAGACTCTGTATTTTGTCAGCGTCTTCACCAAACAGGACTATGTCATCTGCGTATTCTAAGTCGATAAGTGGACCTCCTGGATGGAGATCAATACCCGAGAATTCAGTTGACGAGAATGTTATTTCCATCAGCAGGTCTATGATGAAGTTAAACAAAAATGGAGAAAGTGGACGGCCTTGACGGACACCACTCAAGGTTGCAAAAGCAGATGACAGTTCGCCATAAGCTCTGACTCGACTAGTAGTGTTCGAGCAAAGAGCCTTCACAAGGTTTATGTACTTCTGAGGTACGCCTTTCAATGACAGACACTGCCACAGAATCTCGCGGTCTACCGAGTCAAATTCTGCTTTTAAGTCAAGAAAGACCACCATTGTCGGACGTCGATAAGTATGCCTGTGTTCTAGAACCTGACGAATGATGAATATGTGGTCGATGCAGCAACGACCAGGTCTGAAGCCAGCTTGGTTTTCTTGTGTTTACAGTTCACGAGTCTTAGTTAGGCGTCTGATTATTATTGAGGCTAGTATTTTAGATACTATATTTGTTAAACTAATCCCTCTGTGGTTGTCACAAGATGATTTTTATCCTTTGTTATATATTGGGATGATAAGTGATTGCGACCAGTCAGATGGAATAACATCTAACTCCCAGATCTTAGCTTAAATATTAGTCAACCTAACCGCTAAAATTGGACCACCATCCTTAAAGACTTCTGGAGCCAATCCATCTGGGCCAACTGCCCTTCCTCGTTTCAGATTAACTAAAGCCTTTTGAACTTCTGCTAGAGTTGGGGGACCTACCTCAATGTTCCATTCTCACTGTCTGGGAATGGACGGTAGTTGTAGAGTCGCTGAAGGCCAATTGCACTGTTCCCTAAAGTGTTCCGGTCATCGTTCTAAATGTCTGGACTGAGAGTAGATGAAAATATCGTCTTTTTCCGAAATAATCTCACTTACACTTGACTTATTAGTTCCAGTTTCTTTTATTAGTCTGTAGAGCTGTCTTGTGTTCCCTATAGCCGCCGCCTTTTCCATCTCTTTTGCTTTCGTTGCCCACCACTGCTCATAGTCGTTTCTTAGACTTTTTCTTAACCTAGATCTGATTTGTTGTCGCTCTTCATCATTTTCGGAACCTGATGGGACGAGTTTGCGAGAATCCATCAGTGTGATAGACTTTGAAGAAATCCACTGGTCCTTCGTAACTCTGTGGTTTAAGTCACTAATAGATTTCATTGCTATTTCCACAGCTGTTTGTATATCTTTCCAAGCAACATGTGGGTCAGCCTCGTTTTCAGAACTACCCAAGTGTGACCTCAGTTGTTCCTGGAACTTACTTTTGGTTTTCTCGTTACTCATAGGGTGCGTACATTGAAGGCTCCAATGTGTGGTGTGGAGCGAGGTTTCAGTAGACCTGGGACAGTGTTTTGAGCACTAGAATCGTTGGTTATGGTGATACTTGAGGAGGAAGCCGAAAGAGGAAATTTAGAGGTGAAAGTCGATGTAGGAGGAATAATAGGAATTGAAGAGGGAGGTTGATTATGAATCCAGTGGTCTTGAGTGCTGTTAGAGGTATGAGGGCGGTTATCACTTCCCGGTTGCCCACACCATGGAAGGGTTCTTCTGGAGGTACCTGAAAAGGAAATCGGATTAGAAGTGGTCTTAGTGACCTGGGAGCGTGACCGCAGTGCCCAAGGGACAACTGCTTGAGGTCGGTCACACACGACCTTTTTGTGGGCAATTTTTGTGTTAGCTCCGTACTTGTTGAGACCTTACCGCCGGAGACGGATATCCGTGGGATAGGGCGAGGTGTGCATTTTTTGGGTTGATCTTTTCTAATCCTTGTGGGAAGGCAGCATCGCTGTCATGCTGGTTGTCTGAAGGAAACACCTTATTGCTGTCACACCTATGTACAGTCAGCAGTACAACTTCGCCTTCGGACCTTGGGTTTGTTGCTTTTAGTCTTACCGCTCTTCAACCGACCTTTCTGACGTGGTAGGACCTTGAGTAACAGTTGTTCCAGTCAGTATAGCTCGGTTGCTTCATCACGATAGGCAAGCCCGACCACCACGTCAAGGTAGCAACAACGGTCGGGATATTTATGGTATAAACATGCTGACATTCTTTTGATATTTCTCAATAAATTTTTTAATCTACTGACAAATCGTCTATCTGTTTGTACAATCAATATTGTTGTATAATGTTTAATCAAGGTGGGTGACTAAAGTGAGCTGTATATTCTATTTGACGGACTAAGCTGTTAGATCTGTGCGTGAAGCAGTTCCTTTAGGAAGGTGTCATAAACTGCTTCTTACGCAAGTTAATTAAAGTGTTTGGAAGTAGGCTACAATATATTTTATGTCTGTTAACATCACCTACATTAATTATTCATACTTTGTAAAACGACATAGTTGTGATCAGTTTAGCCTTTACCAAAGCATGCAGATTTCGAATAAGGTTCATTTCAAGTCACTAACTTTCTGGAGATATTTTTATTGGGGATAGTCTAGTCAATCAGATCAGGTTAAATTTGTAGATTATATCACCTACCCAATCTTGCATACTATAAACAAAGCTTGTAAAAGTGTATCACTGCAGATAAATTCCCTTGCTTTCAGGTAACATTTTTCCTTTTAATCGACATTTCAAAGTATATTATTTGGCTAGGTCATTCAAACAAAACTATTCAGTGGTTCTAAACCACTGATGTTGATTAATTTTTTATTACATTGTGATTAATCCTTTCAGTGATTCAGGAAGTCGATTAACAAACCCTCGTATCATCAACTCATCACAAACTTTTCATTTCCTGACTTAGTCATTCAAGTAGTATCTGAATCAGTTATTATTCCCAAACATAACATATTAGTTTACAAAACTGTACTCTAAGAATGTTACGTTTTCTGTTATGACCTCTGTTGTTCAGACTGATAGATGTGTTTATTTGGGTCATTGTCTTCTTGAATCAGTAGTCGTTTGTACTATCAGTGTGAAGTTTGAGATCTAGTCTTCTACAACCGTTCCATACCAAATTGATACTCTATTATTTTAACATTTTGTTTCAGAGAGGAGTCAGTCTCGCTAGCAGTACAGGTTCTGGACCGATCGGACCAGCGGAACTAGCTTTAATGCTTCCCACACCACCATCCCATGACGCACCTCAACCTAGTCCTGTTGATGGTGTTTCAGTGTCCACCAACCGTATGAACCCTTCAACAACTTCAGTAAGCACCCCTGGGCCTGGCTCCCCGTCTGTTCAAACAATCCAGGACTCATTATCTTCCAATGTAACAGACACATCGTCACATTCGATTCCTGTACCTTTCCAGTCTGCCAATTCGCCACCGTCTTGTCAAAATCAAGGATTATGGCATCTTGCTAAACTGCCTTGCATTCAAAACCTCAGTAGCGTGAGCATGGAATCTCAAGTAGGCTCTTTTTGGTGATGAATAGTGTGAAGACATTTCTACAAAAAACTGGTTATTTTCTCGAAATTAATATACAACACGTCTTGACATAGTCAGTCAGTCAGCTACATAGCTCCATAATCAATTGGTGGAGCCACAATGAGATTACTCACTAATAACTACACTTTAGTTTTGATATTAAGGCTTAAAGTAAACTTTTTCTGTGAGACCTAGTGATGCCAATACATTTTTCTTATCAGAAGAACAATGGTATTCAAATTTGATATAATACTTTGAACTATCACTTTTACAACTTGATTGACAATATGATTCCATTTATTGTTCGGCTGGAGTATTAAGTAATGAATCGATTATAATAATATGTTTTTTGCTGTTTTATTAAATGTTGAATTTATGCTGCTGACTGAGTGTCTGTTGTGACTTATTAATGATGTTCTGATGTAAATATCGGCATTGGTACCATGATCTGATAATTTTCGATAATTCGAGCATGGCAAAATATATGTAGCTGCAAAACCTTAGTAAAAATAAAAAATGGTTATGCCTCACCATTTTCATGAATGTGCTTATAACTAATTGATTCACATAAATGTCTGTTTCAGGACTGGTCTTTCGTTCAACCTTGCGCTGCCTATCTCGGTATGACAAGTAACTATCAAATCCCTCATGACGAACTTTCATTATTCGCAAAATCTCTACCTCAGCTGAAATGGTCGTATGACCATCGTGCATCAAACCAAAAATCTGTCACGTCAGATTGTTTAGATTCACATTTTACACCTAATGGGTTGGTCGTTAACACTGGAAATCAGTCTGTGACATCTAAGTCTTGGTTAACGTCTCCCAATTCTTTTCCTCCAACTTCATTACATCGAAATGTTTCAAACACTGATAATAAACCTTGTTCACCTCAACAACTGAATGAGTCTGGGACTACCTATTCCATCACAGGGTTTGTGAAGTCAGCAGATTGTATGAATTCTAATACCAATTACGTAGAGGATTACACAGAGTGGTTAGCCAGCCTACTTGAAACCAATGGACTTTTAGTAAATTTAATCCTTTCAGATTCTATGCTAAATTTATTCAAAGATCATAATTTTGATTCCTGTAACATTTGTGAATGCACGTCATCCATACTTGGCTCTGAAGTTGGTCTTTACTTATCCAATTCTGTATCTACAACGTCACCTTGTAGTAGATCAGGACGAACAAACACTTCAACTTTTGGAAGTCATGACCTAGTTGGCGGGTCTGGGTTCCATTTTACACGAGGATGTAAATGTGGTTTCAGTGCTGTAATGAATCAGAAATATGTAGTTAATGGAAATTTATTCTATGAAGATGAGATTGAAGTAACCCGATTGTCTGTTCGATCTTCTTTGAGTCAGAACAATGAAAATCCATATACTCGTCCACCGAACTACCGAACACGTCCAGGTTGGTGGGTAACCAGTTCTCATCCTTCTGTTAGTCATTTACTTTTACTTCAACGGATAATGAGTAGCGTATTTGAAGAATTTAGTGTACGACAGATAACTGATCAACTAAGATGGAATATGTTGTCGTGTGACCAAGTCATTAAAGAAAATAAACTAGAATATGATGGTAAGTTTAAGTGTTCATAGAGTATAAGAATTTCATGTTTATGCCTTGTCCGTTAACACCTCAAAGATGTTCCATCATGACTTTGTTTATTAATTATGGAGTCATAAGTTATTGGATTTAGTATTCATAAACTTGGAGTGCTGGTTGACTTTATCAATACGTTTAATCAGTTATATATTAGCCAGCCTTTTTAAAAAAAATTATAAACACAAGTGTTCATCATAGTGGATGCCAATCAAATTAAGTTCATCAATTTAGAACTGAAGTGGATCGGTACTGTACTTTATTCCAAAAACATCAATTATTAACCGGTAACTGGGAGAATAGCATTGAAATAATATAGGGGAAACAAAAGTGGCATCAAAAATATCCAACCGCATATTTTCTGGGTTAACGTAATTGCGTTATGTTTATCCACGTAATAAAACCGAATTCATGTGAGTCATATCAGCATTGAAATTACAAAACCATCGCATTCATTAAGTGTAGTGAGTTATGTATATGAATCAATTTGTTACTAGAGTATTATTCTCATCAATAGTCATCTGGTTTTCATTTATTTCAGGAAATAACAAGGTACAAAATGTTTTCATTTAAATAGGGCTTGTGTACGTTACATATCAGGTTATTATTCAACATGGTTTGTGGATCTTGATAGCTTTAATTTTGTTGAGCAGAAGTTTTTGGTATAGGTTTTGTGCTTCATACTGATCACTGGGGTGATATCTACGAATATAAGCCCTCTAATACAATTTCATACTTATTAACTTGTTAGTTCCATTGTATTCATTAATTGATTCATTAGTCCCGATCACCACTGACTGTAAAATCATGAAGTACAATTCATCTCAATGTTCGTCTATCATTATTTAGTATAAATAATGATTCATTATATTTTAGCTGTGATTATTAAAGCTTCCTCCTTCCACCTGTCCTTTTCCAAAATTCAGAATCTTTGCCTTTTTTGTACTGTTTCCTGATGATCCTAATTGCAAAATTTACTTTACGTTTCTATTTAAAATAATTATTTTTATTGATCTAACTTATTCAGATGCTTGTGCTCTAATTTCGTCGGCTATTCGCAATTCCGTTGAAACAGTGCGTCCACGCAGAGTAGTTGGCCATGTTGACAATATTGATTCCATTGCCAATGGTACACCTCATCCGGCTTCCGAAACTGGTGCGTATATTCACCCATCTTTTTTTCTAAAAGCTCATTCTAAGATGCCTCAAAATCAAAACGACCAGATTCGCTTATTAACAGTAAGTAGTTATGTGTCCGTTTTTATAGTTTTATCTAGTGTTTCTGCTGTGATTATTTAAAGTTTATTTACCATTAATGTCGGCGGCTACTGCATTTCATATGTGAACTTAATGTAATTAATAGACTTATACTTTGAGAACGTCATAATATTATTTCTTTTTTGCTGAGTTCTCGGTTGATGGGACGGCATGAAAAATGCATTTCAACAAGAAATATTCAATGCGATAACCAGGCTAAGTCAAAGTATTCCACTTGTCTAGTTAATGCCCAACGGGTATTATTTTTCTTAATATTAATTTTTGCAGAAAACAATCGGTTTGTTTCCGTAGAATCGTGAACAATTTCTGTATGATCTATGTAATTCATTTATTTTAGTTCGTCAAACTTAACGATTCAGATAAGCTTATCCTTTTCTTTGAAATTTTTAATCATATCTCAACACTTACTGTACTTATTTCCTCTCGCGCAAGTAGTCTCTGTTATTATAACTGTTCAGGCCAATTCATATACTCGAGCGTTAATGGAGAGCGATATATTCATGTCTCATAAAAGGAAAGAAAGTAGTGTGTAGTTGTTTCCGCTTGTTTTAGATACTTGCTTGTACTGTGGAAGTTTGTTGTTTGTCATTTCTGAATGCTAAGTATTCTAAATTTTACCTGAGTACTATAATATTCTTGGTTTCCTTGGACTAAGTATTGTTCATCATTGTTTTTGTCATTCGAATCTAAATATAATTGGTTTATCAGTGTGAAGATGAGGTTCATCACACCTACTTATTTATTATATTTGCGAGTACCCTTCAGTATTTTAAAATATTTTCGTTTGTTATTCTGTGATTATGTCAATGTCTACGACTGTCGTTTGTTCTTGTATTGAATTACAATATACCATATATAATTGTAATAAAGATGAAGGACTGTAGCAATGATGATAGATATAATAGATCTCAGTAAATCACCTTTTCTATGGAAAATCTATCGTTTCATTATTTTCAGAATTTGCTACATAATTACTCGGTCGCTAAACTAATGAATGCATCTTCCTTTCAAGACATTTAATGTGTAGATTTCACATAATTCTCTGTTAATTTCTTTTTAGTAACAAAATGCTTGTTGGTCTATGTACAAACGCACAATTGATCCATGTAAAACTGTTATTGTGTTTAGAAATAGGGTTTAGTTCGGCTAGATTGTATTGGTTCCATGTAACTTATTTACCTATGTTTACTTGAAATTTTCCTTCGCTTTGGTGTAAAACTCACTTTTTAATTGCTAAATAGGGGTTATAATTTGATTAGATATTGAAGTATGTACCTTTAAATATGCATTCGTTTTTTATTTCCAGACAATGCGTCCTTGGCTTCAGGAGGCCATTTCGTCTACTCGTATGTTAGAATCAAACTATACGGTTGATGGACCATTAACTTGGAAAGCATTTCATCAACTTGCTGGTCGAGGCTCTGATGAAACTTGTAAACCTCAACCGATTCCTCAGTTGCGCGTTAGCAGTTGCGACCAAGAAAACTTGTTAATTTCTCCATTCGCTCTTCGTGATTGGGTAATGTTTGCCGTCTTATTTCCTTCAAATACGTTCCCTATTTTGCTTATCGCTAGTCACGTATACTTTTATCAACCTTTCTCAAAATTATTTTACGAAACCTTAGCGATCAAATGTGTCTCCGTCAGTTGCATTGCACGTATATAGTCGTGTTTGTGAGAAAATTTGGCTCTTTTGAGCCTATGGTATTATCTACTTTCATTTCATTTAGTGATTTGTAGTGTAAATATCGCTATGATCATCAGGTTTGTTTTGAACTATTTCGTCAAGGTTATCTGTCATAGTTAATTTCGTACATGTCTACACACAGTTTGTTGTTTTGTTTGTATTTATTTATAATTAGCCCTCTTATTTTATGGTTTTATAGGACCGATTATCACTATTTCCATTATCGCGACCTAAACGTATTGCTTATGCTGTGATCTTGCCTTCTGACTCTCATATACTCTCTGATTTGACATCTAATATTCTAATGTCTGAGGGCACCGATGCAAATTCTTCATCGACCTCAAACTCCTTAAGACGTACTCTTGTTGATTTTCTGAAAGAGCTGTCACATACCTATGAAGCTTGTCATCTTGGCCAGCATTTCCCGTATTACAAACCAGAAGCAGGTTCTCCTGATACAGCGTTTATACCCGTCTTTCCAAATCCAGGTAAGTTGTTTGTTATATTTAGTTTTTGGTTTTTATAATTCAAAACGAGTAAATTATTTACAAGACTAACTCCACATCTAATCATTCCTTCGAATGACAGTTTACTTTGTCAAATAGTGTGTTAAGGACACAAATTTCCTTTAAGATGTTTTTATTTAACTGTCCGTAGAATAGCAGTCTGGCGTTTCTTGCTTGTTAAGTAACAGTTTCGATTATCATTGTTATTAAAGTTATGTACATAGATTCGTAATGAAATCTAGTAAATGTTCGTCACCTATGTTTTTGATAGTGTCGTTTCAAAGTTAAAATTATCAAAACTTTCATAATTTCCTTCTACCTACAACAGCATGCCGTTAAAATTTTTCTGTCTATGAGGTTACAAACACACCGCCAATAAAAACTAACAAGCAGGTTTTCTTGCTTACAGACTCCAGTTTTGGTTTGGTTAATTTGAGAGTCATATTGTAAACTAGTTCGTCAATTTCGTTTACTTGACTTATTATTTGGTAATCAGTAGGTTGTGAAAGTAGTTGGGATATTAATTTTCGATATCATTACATATGATAAGTTTTTATCCCGAAGTTTAATCTCAGTATGTTAATTAAATATTTCATTGATACATCTTTCGTAGGAATTCCGATGTTATAATCGATTTATTTTTTAACACCTGCATTTCAGAACGTCTTTCAATATCAGAATCTGATAACTTCGTAAGTATTCATCCGGATCTTCTGAAAACTCTTACAGAACAACTAGGTAATCATTCACTATGTGGAGAATCAATACTACGAATTATTCAGAACTACGCCTGCTCTTCAGTGAACTCCGCCATAGCTGCATTGAAGAAACACGGTGTTGCTGTGGAGTTTAGTTCTGATACGAATCTTCGCTCTGCCTTGTTCCCACCTTTTGAATCAATAAAATCAGAGAAGCCTAGCGTCCCTGTTAAAATCAGTCAAGATGATATAAAATTGAATATTGTAAACCGACTTTCAGTTCCGAGCAGAATGGATAGTGGCTGCTCTGTACGCTACAGTAATGGTGATGGTTCCTTCACCACATCCCTGGATACATCCTCTTGGGGAGCGGGGAGTGATGTTTATTTAGTAATATACATTCTAAATCCTTTCTGCTACGTAAGTGATTGATTACGTAACAAATACCCGCTTCTATCAATACTTCTTTATCAACTTTAAAAGTACACTATTCTTATTCTAAGTTTCGTGAGTCAAATAAAATATATTCTGGATACTAGCCTCACCGGTTGATAAAAGTTGCTCCTTGTTGATTTTAGTCGATTGATCATCATTTTTACACTCAATAATTTTGGTCATATTTCACAGAACACTTTTTCTATATTTCATCTAACTTTGAACCAAATGGTATTTAAGATTATTCTATATATTTATTGGGAACTTTTTCAATATTGGAACAAATCTTTTTTCTAGTGTTTTTTTTTTAACCAATTGCTTAAACTTCATCTGCGTGTTTGTGCAAGGAACATATTCTTACACGTTTTGTCACAATTGAGACATATCTGTTAGTTATCACCCTATTTAAACTGAATGACTTTGTATATGAAACCATTCGTATTTTTTCAGATCACATAAACATCTTGTTTTGGTCAATCTCCTAGTCATTTAATGTATATTTTGCCTTCTGTTGAATTAAACTTGGGTATTAAATATACGGGTAGGATGATTGACTACGTACACTCCTAGTCTGAACTGTTGTGTAGGTAAAATAACTAAATCGAAATGCGTTATATAAAGCTTATTTACAACTTGGGAATCAAAGTTTTAACTGATTTTGAAATATATGGGTGAAGATTACCGTAATCAACATTTTCTTATCTATCTTAATTGTGTTTTACATTTTAAAATTAATTTGTACAGTATGTAGAAATCACTTCCAAATTCTATGGAAATATTGTAATCCAACTGGTTTGATGCTAACAGTTTTGTAATTTGACGTAGAGTAAATTTCAAAAGCAAACGGTTATATCTTTACCGTCTAGCTCTTGTTCTTAAAAAGGTTGCTGTACTGTAAAGCAAGAAAATGTATTGGTTAGCTGTGTATTTTTAATTAACACCTGCAGATTCAAAACCTTGATATAATAATCTGATCATGGACTAAGTTTTATGAATAACTGGTTTATTCAATAACTGTAGGGTCTTACATCATTTTCCTTGCCGAGTCTATCCGCTTAAGTATTTTATAAATTTTTATTCAATCATATTTAATAAAGACAGAAAAGTGATAAACAGATTACTGACTAAATAATTATTTTGGTTTAATTTTATAGTTTGTAAAAGTATACACAAATATCATAGTATATTGATAATCCAATAAATTTCCCGTAATGTTTTCAAACGGCATATTTCACCGATCACTTTATCTTTATTTACAACCATCAAGCCATTAACAGAAATGATTGTAGGATCTATTATTTGAATAATATTAACCAGAATCGCTCCTGGAATTTCATTTTTGTATAAGCTGAACTATGTGTATTATAATGTTTGCATCACATTGATCTCAGTATTTATGTCCTTTTGTTTATTTTATTTTAGTTGTATGATATCAGTATGGAGCTTGGTCGTCTTGTTATGCAGTCATTAGTCGGTTCTGCCAATCATATATTGAATTCCTTACCTGAATCGTGGCGTGCACGTGTCACTACACAAATTTTATCAGTTGATCATGTCATGTCTGACTATTTGCCCCGTTTACGACCTTTAGCACTGGCAATTTACACATCTGTGAATCGTTTCATTGAACCCAGTTTAATAAATGCAAATCGTACATTAACGGGTATAGGTCCAGCAGCTGAAAAGGAAATTATTTCAAATGACAAAGATGTAAGTTAAACCAAAGTTTAATGCTTCCTAATGCTTCGGGTAGTTGTTTAACAATCCCTTTAAAAATAATTCTTTGGTCATCTTTCTCATCACCTACTAAAAGCAGAACTTTCATTCGGTCAAGTTTCAAATTGTTCTTTTTCTATGTGTATGATTCCGTCTTAGTGGTTTCTGCAGAAAAATACTATACTGTTGATCTTGAGCTAATTATTAGCAAACTAGAAAACAAAAGCAGCAAAATTATAGTGGATAAATAAATTTGATATGACCAATGAACCTTTACACATTGCATTATTTATTATAGTAAACGGAGAGAGATTAAGTCTAGGTATTCGGAGTTAGGTTAAAGTTATAAATAACGATTAGGGTTTTCGTCACGAATTAACGTCAGCTATAATGCAATAATGCTTTATTACCCTTTCAATCATCAATGTAGTTAACAGAGTAGCGTATTTGAGGAAAAGTGGCTTGGAGGTTAAACCATATGACATACAACCGTTGAGTTATATCTTCATTTCACATATCATGAACATCAGTTCAACCAACTTGATTGGACCATTAAAATTTCATATATGAAATTTTGCTCGAAGCTAAATACATAGATATGTATTTGGGTTACTGAGTAACATTTAACTTTCTCATAATCAATTACTGTATCGTTTGTGGATTTTGCCAAGAAGGTCAATTGCTCACCATTACTGTTGACAGCTCATTTGATTTACAAAGTTTTCTTTTCAACTATCTACTTTGCAAACATTGTGCATATTTATATTCTTTGTTATTGTCTGTTTTTGTTGTTGTTTTTTATTTAATTTTATTAGGGTGAATGCTATTGATTTACTTTAAATTCAATTCTCTTTTCTTTTGTATATAAAGAAAATAGTTATTTGTTAGTTGTGAACTAGTCAATTAATCTAGCCAGCTCTCTATCTAAATATAATTGAAATGCACCTTATATGATTAAAAATCTGTTCAATGAGGATATATTTTATCTAGGTTGAATTTACTGACCTGTAATTATTCATTAATTGGTAGAAACAATTGAATTTGTTTTTATCATCATTTTGTATTCCTTATTCATAAAAAAATAATGAATATTAAGTATCATTTTCTGTTTTGAAATTTTTCGCGTGTCTACACAACGTATCATAAATAATAGATTATATATATATATGTGTATCTGTTAATCACTGACCGTGTTTACTTAAAACACACCTAATGATTGTTATTATTCATAATGAACAAATTTAGAAGCCACAAATAACTTTTCTATTGAACTGTATTAGTTCGTCGCAACTTTAACACTACTTTTATTCTTCTCTAAAATCAATGTTTGTCTATAAACTAGAGAAAGAATTTTATCGAAGTAACTTTATTAAGTGTAATTCACACATACACACACAGTACTTACATGTACAACTTCATATAGTATTTATTTAGTTTTTACACGTTTAGTGTGTTATATTTAGTAGAATAAGCTCAGAATGATAATTTCTTGTTTTATGCAGAAATTTGTTTTCTTTTTGTATAGCAGCTGTGTTGTAGATTGTAATGAAATGTTAGCTGTTTATTAAATATTACTCGTAGTTTGGTATCCTAAGGTGGTATGATTAAATACTTTAGTTAATTTATTGCTGATTATAACAGTGGGAATACGCTACTATGTATATATAATGCTTGTTACAACTATTTGAAATCTAACAATCTTTATAAATAGACCAAATAATTCGGTAAAAAAAGTGGCAGTGAACACAACAGACTGAATAAGTTAAGGGATGAAATTTTTTATGAAAATTTGTGAAGACTTGCATTTCCCCTTTTTGATATTCAGGACTGATATTGATCAGTTAAACTCACACAATTAACTTCATATCTGTTGAACAATTTAGAGGCTATTTGGTAACAGCCTAATGAATAATGTATTGGTGTATAAGTTCAGCTGACGAGTTTTGGACAGAACGAAGCCCAACTCTTAGATTCCGTGGCTAATCGTAGTCCATTTATTTCTACCGGTGTTTTTCTTGGAACATTTTTCCATCTCACCGATGTTAACAATGTGTTTTTAATTAGTTTGTATTTCAAGAAATATTAAAAAACTATGTATCACTGAATGCTTTTATGAAGTCTGAGAAAAGCCTATACATTTTAGTCCCATGAAATATTTTTGTAAAATTAATTGTTCTTAGTTCCTACCAACTTTTTGCTACGCTCATACTCGATGAATAAGTTTTGAATTGATGTGAAGCAAATGTTTAGTGGTTAAAATGTGATTTTCAATTGTCGGGTTGCCACCTCACAATTGTCTCCATATACTTAAGTGTAACCAACTACATCACCCTCACAAATATAATAGTATGGATCAAGGCTGTTTACACAAACCTACTATTCATCTTATTAATTTCATATAGATAATGTGGTATGTGACAGCTTGAGGTGATACGCACTTATGACAAGCTATGTGTTGGTTATAACTGTTTAGCTGTTCTTGGTTATTTACTATTCAATTGTGTATTAGTACTTAGTCGTTGTATAAGTTTAATTGTCGAATTTTCGCGCCGTTATTTTTTAAATATATTTACTTTTACACTTTTAAACCATATCAATTTAGGGCTTCCACAAACGAACTATATTTGCGCCTCCATATACACTCATGAACTCACGTGATGTACTCAGTCAACTAGATATTTCATCAGAACCTATTGACCGGTCATCTGTTTTATTTGTTGCATATTGTCTTTCACAAGATCAACAATGGCTTCTTGCTACATTTACAGATGAACAAGGTGGATTATTAGATCATACTTTAATTAATATTCGTGTCCCAACAAGATATTTTACTGAAATAGAAAATCAACGTTTTCAACCAACAGAATCAAATAAGCATATATTAAGCCCTCGTCGTATTGGGCTTGCACGACTTTGGGATTATATTATTAATTTAGTAAGTCAAACTGCCAACGCTTGGCGACTTGTAGTAGGAAGAATTGGTAGGTTGGGACAAGGAGAACTAAAAGGTTAGTTTCATTCTCTAAAAATAACTATTGTACTCTGATGGGTATTACATAATATTTGCATATCGGGAACCTTTATTTTTAATAATATATTAGTTTTTTTAAAGATATCCAGAAATTACATTTCGTTTTCGCAAGTTTATCGTCTGATAATTACTTAATCATCTCGTTTTTTTCCAGAATTTGTGTTATCGGTTACAAAAACCTCGGAAATATTGGTTAAATATCCTTCAAAAACCTGATTGTCGACAGCACCTTAAGATGTGAGGTCATGTAAAGAGTTTCCAGTGATCCTTTTAAAAATCCTGCTGATAAAGTAAATTATCATGCGAATAGACTGTAGTTAATGCCTCATTCTTTTCCTAAAAGACTTCATTAAAAACTTGTCCCGGTTTAAACACTGTTACTCCCTTTTTATCAATCAGTCTTATCATATGTCACGCAGAACCTGACATATATATGCCTCAGTTCAAGCTGCCACACTACATTAGCAAAACATGATAAAAATATCAAGACAAATCTCGAATTGATAGAAGTAATAACAGTATTAGTAGTAGTGAGAAAGATTAAGTATACAAAGATTAGTATATGGAAATTTTAGGATTTAGGTACTAAGATAAGGTAAAGGAAGATTGCATGTGGGTCATTCTGGACGATTCACTTGAAGCCTCTAACCAGTGGCTACGATAGTCTTAGACTCCTACAGGGTACTCTACACTTATTAACATAACCCCGTTCAGTCGTCAATGATATTATTGACTCATTTGGTTCCCGCAACTTCCTTTTGGCCTACACCCACACATGATGATGTCATACTGAAATAGGTCGTAGTAGAGCACCGGTAACATGTCTCAACCACCTCAGTTTATGAAGATTCACTAGTCCACCGACCGACTAATCATCTTTACTAATTACCCTATGCCTAGCCTCAGCATTGGTCACTCGGTAGTCCCAAAATACTTTAGTGGTGCTTCAAAGATACTTATAATTAAATACTAGTAAACTACGAACAGCCTCTATTCTTTACGACCATGCTTCACCTGCATAGATTAGAAGAGAGCGAACTGCTTTTCAGTAGGTTAGTCCTTCTTTCTACGGATGGACATACCGCGTACGCAACAGATGATACAAGTTGGCAAAATCCATGTAGAGATTTCGTCCAGACACCAGCCTACCAGGGCGGGGGAGATGAAACATCAACATCCTCGACTACATCACCCCCTGTCATTACTTCAGGTGTTGACAAAGACTGATCTTGACATAGCGTTTCGGATTTAGGTAGAGACTCACATCCCAAACTTTCTTGCATTGTTGCTTAAAGCGGTATAAAGACAGCACTTTGTCAGGGTTTTCACCAAATAGAACTCATCATCTGCAACAAGTGAACTTCCTAGTAGGAGATTATTTCTTGGAAATCTAAAAGATGAGAGCTGCCTCCAAAACGGTGTCTGTGATAAAGTTGAATAAAAATGGCGAAATTGGACAGCCTTAACAAACAGCACTTGAGGTTCACAGTTCTTGCGACGATTCGGTATAAATTCTAACCTAACCAGTAATGTTCTAATCGAAAACCTGTACAAGGTTGATGTATGCCCTTTGATCCCAGGAACTTCACAGGACTTCTCGACGAACGAAATCGAACACTTAAGATCAACGAGTATATTTTATTTTACACATCCACGTTTAGGTCTCAAACTAGCCTCGTTTACCTGAATTCGCTTTTTATTGGCTGTATCTAAGCGTGTGATGACTATAGCGGCTAGTATTTTGGACACTATATTAATTGACTTGATCCCTCTGTAATTGTCACAAGGGGATTTTTTATCCATTCGTGTAAGCTGGGACATTCAGCAATCAAGACCAGTCAAATGGGATTACATCTAGTCCCCACATTCTAACTAATATGTTAGTGATTATAACTGCTAAAAGTGAACCACAATTCTTGGAAATCTCTAAGTTAATTTTTCAGAACTTTCAAAGCTAATACTTATTGAGATTAATGCTTAAAAGAATATCTTGTCGAAACTTAACAATATTTCACTTATTCACTGTTGCTGTGAATAAGTAATATGAAACTATTGATATTAATTGTTTTAAATCGTTCGTTACATTTTGTAGGTTGGAATGGACTGTTAGGACGCAAAAGCCTTCAGGATGTAAATAAATTTTTTCGAGAGCGCTGTACTGCATGTAGTATATCATCTTGTGTTCCTTCACATTCGTCATCCATTAATAATGGTTCTAAGCCTATGTTGAATCTTGTCAATAGTTTCACTGGAGCCAGTAGTTGTACTCATGAACTCCCAAGTTTGATCAGTGCGTGTCTTGTTTCTCTCGAACCTCAAAGCACATTTCGTGTATATCCTGGTTTTGGTTTGTGTTCAGATGAATCATGGACGTACGGTGGTGGTGGTGGCGGTGGTAATGCAGGTGGTGGTGGTGGCTCTGGAAGTGCAGGTAGCGCTGGTGGTAGTGGTGGTCTGAGTAACGGCGCTAACAGTGCATTTTATGGAGCCAATGCTTCACCATTAGCTATGCGTATGATGTCACTTTTAGATACTCCAACAACGTCTACGGAAACACCTAGTGCAACCCATATTCTTGTCTTTCCTACTAGTACTTCAGCAAGTGGTGTGTCTGTAAGTTGATTCTTCATTTATTATTATGATTTTTGCATACAAGTTTGTTTGTTGTACTGAAATCGTACTTATATAAATTATTTGCTGTCATTTGAATGAGAAGTTAAACAGGTTTCCATAAAAATTATAGTATTTCAATTACTTAAAACTATGCACGATTTCAAACTCCGTTTATCGACACTTGTTCCATTCTCTAAATAATTTTTAAGTAATGTTTTACATTTATACTTTGTGTATGATCCATAACCACCATAAACACTCGATTTTGTTGTTAGGAAACAACTATTAGTGTATCTATGGATCTAGTTTTACAGACACATGCTACCATAATAGACGCAGTTTAACGTGTGGTTTGTAAGTGACTTTTATAAGCGTTGGTTTTTCTCATTTTAGCCACTTGGCTTCTCATCAGAATCTATTTCTGTAAATGCTGCCTATCACTTCTTATTCTACTAGTGTCCTCAATCTTAGATAATATTTTTTTCCCACATAAAGAACAATCCAGATGGTTAGAGTTTTCAAGTATTTCTATCCAGTCTATACAATACATCGACTCGATAAATAGTGGTGTAAAATGGGTTTTAAAGTCACTAATTATGTACTCGTAGCAGTCTATGTGACATTAAAAATTACTATGATTGGTATAGACTGTTGTAGAGCATAGCTTTTAGTGCATTTTTGCGATTTAAGTTTGTGAATGTTAGAATAGTGAACAAAATCTTGATCATTGAGTGAAGTTCCTTGATACTATGTGCCTGACCAATAACTTCTCATGATATAGAACTACGGACGCAATCCCTCGTATGAACTCTTTTCGAACAGCAAGACAGCTGACCAGCGGAATAAGTTTTATTTTTAATAAAAATAACATACTTCTATACAAAATATTCGATGCGAAAATAAACTATTTGACATCAAATAAGCGATAAAAGGGGTAAGAGTTTTGTCGGTCAATCATTTTTGCCGATTGAATTAAAACTTTGTGTTCTTGTTAGCTGCCTCATCATAGACGTATTTACACATAATTTTGTTCAAAGTAACATACAATATCAATTTGTATCTGCCTACTCTTCCTTTCATTTTTTTTAAATTGTCAAAAGATGATACACTATTTTGACCCATTTGTCCACGACTCAACGATTTTCAACTTCCCTGTCACTAGTTCAAATCTCGCTCTACACACCTCGACTTAGTTAATTTTTCACATCACGAATGAAGTATACAGTCAAGTGAATAAGTCTTAACTAGATTTCTTTACTTTTCAATAGTCGGTTAAAACGTCCGTAAATGTGTATACGTTATGTATGGAGTATTTTAACGATAGTTAATTATTATTTTTGAAGCGGATAGTATTATTAACTCACATGAACATAAGTCTGTATTTGATAGATGAGTCACTAAATTTATTAAATGTTCTTGCTTAGTTATTTCCCAGAAATCTGATTTATTAATTATTTTTGGTTTAATGGTTTCAACATTTTTGAGCCTATTTAATTTTTAGGAACATGAACCTTCAGGATTAGCTGAGGTCATCTATGGTATGGGGTCCGATGATATGAATGTATTTGACTGGCTTCTTCCGAACGATCCTGGCCTTGATGATCTCGTTCCTCCAAACGGATCAACAGCAGAAATGTTGGCTGACTTCGGTAATCCATCTGAATTAAATTTCGGCCTGTCCGACTTAGGTCCACCTGTTTGTGTCAGTGGTGTTAATGATGGTACGGGGAAGTCATCTAATGGTAGATTAGGCGATGGTAGTGATGTTTTGCATGGACACAATGAGTACGCTGTCGGTTTTCATGATAATCGGGGACATGGGTGTTCTGATGTTATGGGTTTACGTGGACTTGATTCTGGACTACTAGATCTGGGACCAAATCATGTAAGTAACGTTGGAGGTTATTTGAGTGAACATTCAATCGGTCATGCTATAAATCCTCTCAACACAATGCCTTTCGGAATACATGATCCTACAGTAAGTAAATTGTTCGTTTATTCATTAGAATTTCTCTTTGTTTTGATTTAACATCAGGTTGCCTAACGTAAACATCAGGATTAGCATATTTAAAACATTGTAGTCTCCTCATGTCATACCTGTTGATTATACAACAAACGACTGCTTGATCAATTCTTAACTGTTTAATAGTCTCTAATTTGTCCAAACTAGTGTATGAACTTAAAGTTGTGGTTGTGGTTTGTTGTACTTTGGCCACTAAGAAATAAATTACAAGATGAAGCAATTTCATCATAAATGATAAAGGACAAATTATTCATGAATCGCGTTTATTTATTGGTTATTAGTGGTTTTGTGATATCTGTGTAACATTCATCATAATTATAACATATTGATTTTCTATGCTGTTTATCGTTTTTTCTTTATAATTAGACGTTTTTACTTCGTTCTTTTAATTCGTTTCATAGTATGTTTGTACACTAAACTTTAGTCTTAGATAACTTTGGTCTAACAAGTTGGATATACAACGTTAAAGATCGAATTTGAATTTGAAAAGTGACAATTCTAAATTTTAGTTTCGACCAAGGTTTCTTTCTTGACCTAAGTTGACAATTCGACCAAGGTTTCTTTCTTGACCTTATTTATTGTCATTTGATAATTGTAGAGATATTTTGCTTCGTTCACTTAATTTGTCATCATCTAAATGTATTGAGATACAAGGTAGTTGTACAATAAGGTGGCGAACTGTAGTTCTCAGTTGTATGATAATAACTCCCAGTATTGAATGATTGTAGTAAAATTAAAACGTATTCATAAAATACTACTGGTAACTAATTTGGTTGGAAATGTTTCGGCAATCCGTCTAACATGTATACTTTTGATCGAATATCTAATTTGTTTTGTATATTTCGTTTTGTTTACTATTAAATCTACCATTTTCACTACTTAGGATGAAGTGGGAAGTTTGATGCAACAACCCTTGGCCATGGGATATTACATATCTACAGCTTCTGCCGGTCCACTGCCCTCGTGGTTTTGGATTGCTTGTCCGCATTCCAAATTTCAGTATCCAGTTTGCTTGAAGTCTGCTCTGCATTTACAAACCACATTGGTTGGTGTTGATGATGCTGCAGCCGCAGCACCTCCACCGACTGGAGGTTCAAGTGGTCCAGGGGTTGGGCCGTCGTCAAATCGTCCGGGACATCTTCTAGATTCAAGCAGCACATGTGATGTATTAAGATACGTTTTAGAAACATATAATGCTTTATCTTGGTTAACCATTGATCCAACAACAAACGATCGTAGAACTTGCTTACCTATTCACATTCTTTCCTTATCACAAATATACCAGGCTTTTGAAGCATTCACTTGATTTTATTGCATCTCTGTAATTTATTTGTAAATATTAAGTAATGTCTTTTTTTTTTAAAAAAAAGAATGATGGCAGCTTGTATTATGCCAATAAATCTTTCAAGAAAATTTAATGATTTCTCTATCACATCCCTTATTATTTACATTTTATCCTTTCACTTATTTGTTCTTGCCAGTTTGTAAATTGATATTGTTTATTTCCATCAGGGTAGATATTACTTAATCATCATGATTATGATAAGAATAATTGTATTATCAATCATTTAATTATGTTTATTGATTGACCTTACAGATATTTCATGTGTTAATTTATTGTGATTTTTTGTACAGACTTAGTGTATATGCTTTTCTTTCTTGGACAATTCATTTCAACCGGTGTATAGATATTTTTAAACAACAGAAAAAAAGATCCTAATTTATTCTTTTTTTTTCTGTTGTTTAAAAATATCTATCCACCGGTTGAAATGTATTGTCCAAGAAAGAAAAGCATATACACTAAGTCTGTACAAAAAATCACAATAAATTAACACATGAAATATCTGTAAGGTCAATCAATAAACATAATTAAATGGTTGATAATACAATTATTCTTATCATAATCATTATCATTAAGTAATATCTAGATTTTCGATTAGTCGTCTATTTGTGTGCCTTGGTCTTTCTTAATATGAACTTTTTTTTGTCAGTAATGAATGTGTATGTCCGCTTTGTCCATTTCATTCCCTCCCCCCTCCCTGATTTCAGTCTCGTAAACTGACATCAACTCTCAACGCTCGAATTCTAATAGTATTTTATTAATATTTCCATTGTTGGTCAATGTTGACTGTAAATGTATATAAAGTGGTCATTTTATTCTTTACATAGAAATAATTAATTCTGAATTGATTTGTTTAAAAATCACTATTGTTTAACATAAGTCGTTTATCATTGTCATGCATTCTATAGTCTAAAGTGATTATATTAGAACTAGTTACAATGGATTAACTTTGCGTTTGCTTTGCTAAGCAATGATTTTACTTCAATTGAAATATCACTTAAGATGATTTTGTATGCGTATGTGTCATTTTCAGCTTTTATAACTAACCAATAGATTGGTTAGATTTTTAGCAGTCTGAAGAGTAAATCATTTAGTAAATGAAATATGTATTTCACAACAGCATTTAGTAACAATGATAAATTCTACTGCTTTGTGTGGTAGTTTCTGAGATTCTTTCTATGCAATAGGAAAACATGAGAAAATTATTTTGCAGATGTTAACCTCATTGAACTCGTAATATTCTTGACACTACCATATAATAATTAGAATAGAATCAACTTTAATTGTGACTTGTTATTTTCAACTCATTTTAAAAGAATAATCGAGTTGTAATAGAATAAATTTAGTATAGAATTATTTCGACAATATAAATCATATAAGACTAATTGAGAAATTTGATTCTTCCTAATAACTGGAATTTCATTAACACTAACATTCATATTTTAGTTGTTAAGTCGTACTTTAAGATTAGACATTAAAGTATACTTTCAAAATCTATTCAGTAGTAAAAGTTGAAAAAAAAGTCTGAATTAATTACAATAATGATGAAATATAAAATACAAGGAAACTGTAGTGTTATATACATTACTCATTGATTTAGTTACAGATCAGCATGAGCTGTTGAGTTGTGGATTAAGAATCCTATCTTTAATATCTGTTCTTAGATGTACATTGTCAGGATAAACTTATTGGCCAATTCAAGCTTTGGATCAATTAGTACAGATCATACAGCACGTTTTCCTCCATAATATTAAACAATTTAGCACTACATAAGTGCTTGCACTTCTACTCCGGTTATCCGATGTTTTGGCGATCAATGAGATATAAGAAGCGTACCAATATTTTTTGTCGTCGATTTCTATTTTATTAGCGGAAATACACTTCTTATTTTATCAATCCAAGTGGTCGTATTAAATCCATCCAGTCACAAGTAAACAGGTATTACTCGTGTAGTGATTCATATGGAATTGGCATAAGTTACTACTCGCCAGATATGTCGTACAGTGATGTCACGTTAATTTTTGATGATGAAAGTACTTCGAAAACGCGTTCTTTGAATTTTCAGGATTGATAATATTACCAAAGTTTCGTACTGTTACATGCAATGAGACCCCCCTGTCTCTTCTAGGTTTATTGCTGGTCCCAAGCCTGAGTAAATAAGTAGGGTTGGGCATGGGGTCAGCAACCCCTTGATAAAAAACACTAACCTGCAATGAAGTAAAATTTTCACCTGTCACTTGTTATCCTCCATATTGTTTTGTGTTTTTCCAGGTCATTTACAACAGGGAGAGATCAATATCAAAAAACCGATGCAGTTAGTGTATTGATTTACTATTTATGTTTCACTGTCTGCATAAAATTCATTCCCATCAGTATAACATGACTAGTGACTGTGGAAACAAAATTAATCGTACATTTAGTTTTAGGGCTCCTTCAATAAACATACAAAAACTCAACAATCTGTACAATTATATACTGATCTAAAAACTTATAATGCACAATTAGAATCAATAATTTATGTTTTAGAGACTGAATACATAATAAACATAAAAATGTATTATGTTTACTTAATAACTCAAAGATTGTGTAATGACATAACAACCGACTAGTAAACTAATTTTGTTTAATTAAAACTAATCACTTGGCTGAGACGATCTAAACATGAAGACATTAATAATCCCATTTAAAATACTAAACTACCGTTTATAAATATGATAATCAATTTAAATAGAATGATTGTAATTTAATGCTTATTAACCTGATACAAAATGAAATAGATCACAAGATATTCAGTAGGATTTTACTTAAAAATCTTGTTCCTAACTGATTAATACGTCAATTAGCTACATTTCAAATCTTGTTTTTTTTTCTTTTCATAAAATATCAATCTGAAATCTATTTCATTGGGTTTACTTGGCGAAGTATTTTATTTATTTTAATGTTCATTAATAAATCCTGTCATATAACTATTTTGTCAAGTTAGTGAATATAAGATATCAGAAGGGGTTTCGTGAAGACTTTAGTCATTTCTATTGCTGAGATTATGAGTCAATTGAAGTTAGACCACCATGGAAAACCTGGACGGCCGTTTCGTTCTATTGTGTGACTCCTCAACAGTGCGCATCCACCACCCTGCCTTGCGGGATCCGAACCCAGGACCTACTTAATCACTAAGCCAAGTGAACACTTTCTCCTGTTTCATACTCTTCATAAGTGTATACTAGTGATGTTGTCTAGGATCAGTTTCAAACGTCTAATGAATGATCATGAATAAATTGAAGTTAGACCACCATGGAAAACCTGGAAGTACTGGACGGCCGTTTCGTCCTATTTTGTGACTCCTGAACAGTGCGTATCCACGATCCCGCCTCATGAGATTCGAACTCAGGACCTTTCGGTCTCGCGCGAACGCCTAACCTCTGGACTACCGAGTCGGCATCCAACTGTGTTAGTGTGTAACTTCAGCTAATCCACAAAATTGGGCGACACGTCCACCATTATCTTCCGTGAGTTACTCATAACAGACCCAGTTGAACTCCATTGGTCACTGCTTCTCACTAGAACTCCAGGAAATACCTCTTAAAGTCAGTCACTAGTGTTCATATGTTAATTAGTATCAGGAGTTTTGTGGATATTCTAGTTATTTTACTAGTTGAGATCGTGAATCAATTGAAGCTAGACCACCATGGAAAACCTAAATTATTTCTTTAATGTTTTTCAAAAATCTAGTAAAGTGACACAAGACGTGTAGACCTTAGTCTACGTAAGAGGTGCGTTATAACTCATTAAAATCTTTTATCACATTGGTGAAGCAAGTTCTGATTAAATCATAGAATATGAATGAGTATTCATAATTGGATACTGAAGCTTGAAGAATGCTGATTACTTTCTTCTGTTACAAAAAATGTATTTTGGTATTTGACTATTTGGGTTGTCTCGAAAAATCAGTTCTATATTTAGGAACATGAGCCGATCTTAGTCAGTCAATCACGGCAAACTGAAAAATACTGATCAGCTATTTCGTTCCAGTATAACACTCCTCAGCAATTTTCCTCCACCACCCCACAACCAGGGTCGGATTCAGGCCCTTCAGACGGATGCACAAAGGCTGAACATTCATACACTGATTTGCAATTCAGTTAATTACATGTTCAGCTTCAATTGATTGCTAATATCGCACAACAATATTTGAATGAATTTAGTGATTGACTGACTCACATTAAACATCGTTGAATCCTACTGATCATGACTTTTTACTAAAACTCCGAGATCACCGATGCTCCTGAGTTCAGTCATTGGTTGTGGGATTGTGAACATGCACTACTGAGAAGTATCATGTTAAGATGAAACGGCTTCCTGTTTTTAAATAGTTGTTTAGTTAAACTCAATGTCATTCGGTTTAATCATCTATTTCAAACAGTAAAATATTAAAAGGTCGTTAATGAATGTTGATACAACTATTTTTTATTTGGATAGGAACAAGATAAGAAAGATTACAGAAAAGAAATACCTAATCGTGAAACTGTTGATTTAGAATAAAATTTTATTTCAGTGATTGAAAATTAGGTGATTTAACTAAATCATCTAATTATTCTTTTATCTAACTACGAACACATTAATTTACATGTTGGATTTGATTTCCTACTTCAGCATACTTTTCAAATGACGAACTTTGCTCTCGATTTCATGCTTAAATAGCATGAACCGGTAAATGATATAAAACTAAAAGGTACTAGGTAGTTTTTATACTCTGATTTAGAACATTTTTAGTTACTCATCGCAAACCATGCGGAATCGAGCTCAAGGTCTTAAGTCCTCACAGGTTTCTTTTCATTATTATTATAACTAAAAACTCAATGAAACATCTTCCAACAGTCGATCATATAATTATCGTTTTATGGTTGAATTTTGTAATGATTGTTCACATAGTTTAGAGGTGACGTTTTTATAATGAACTAATATTCAATTGGTGTTGTTTTACTTGTATCTTCCAATTGTTATTTAGAACTGCAATTGATCAGTCTCATGTTGGCATATGTGCATCCTGTGCGGATTGCCTCAATATAGCCTTAAGTCACAAACGTTTTAAGCAAAGGTGATTAGGGGTTAGCAGGGGAATTCAGGTCGAGCGTTTCATCCTATTTGAGACTCGTCGGCTGGATGTACCAGAGTGGACATCAACTCTGAGATTTAGGTACATCCAGTTGACGAGTGCAAAATAAAACGAAACATGCGTCCTGGATTTCACTGCTAGCCACTAACCATCTATGCTTATGAACTAATATGTTTTAATTTTACAATTGTACTTCATTAAAATGTTATTACAGTTTGCTATAAATTACGTAATATACAGCAGATATCAGTTTCA